CAAATAAGAGATGCAATTTTGTTGTTTGCTTATTTTTATGTGGTGCTGAGGATCTAACGCAGTGCCTCACATGTGAGAGGCAAGCGCTCTGCCCCTGAGCCACAACTCCAGGCTAAAGAAAAATATTTTAAAAAGAGAAGTGCATCTCTTATTTGTCCAATGGAATAAGACTTGGTTGGAAAGCAGGATCTCAGGGTATTTTAACCTGGGCCACAAACTCAAAGGATTATGAAGACAAACAGCACAAGTGGGTGACACAGGCAGGGGTGGACAGGGTGAGCTGAAGAGTACATGCCCACCAGAAGAGGAGGCCTACCCAGCAACTATTCTGCTCCCATTGGCCAGTCCCATTTCAGAATCTGGAACACAAACACCACAGGACAAGAAAAGCACACCCAGGCTGGTTCTGTGCAGTGGATTAACCAAATGTGGCCCAAGGTCTGCTAGGTTCCAGCCTCTGTACCAGAGGTCTATGAATCCCTCCAAACTCCTAACCATGAGATGAATGAATCTTGCACCATGAAGTTAGAACAGACCAGCAGAGAGTTGCCCTGGCCTTCTTCCTCTCCTCAACACAGAGACACATAACAGAGGCTGTTGGTTGAAGGGCTGCTGGGACACGAGAAGGCATGGCTTGATGGTCACACTCTCAAGCCAAGAGCAGACATTAGGGACCATCCTTCAGGCCACCATCCAAGCACTAATTTGCAAAAGGAGATCCAGAGAGGGAAAGCAACTTGTGCAAGGTGAAACAGGCAGATTGGCATGGTGGGAGGGTTGAGGGGGTGGTGATCTTCAGAATGAAGAAAAGACGAACAGAAAGACAAAGGCTCAGGAAAGGCCAAGTGACAGATATCATGTTCCAAATTATAGGACCCAAGTTCAGGAAGTTTTAGAGCTAAGAGAGATGCAGCATGAAATGACACTGAGTATAAGAAGTCAGGGAAATGGAAGATATTAAGGACCTCTGGAAGGCTGGTCTCTTTCTGCTTCTTGATCTGATTGCTACTCCTAGCATCATGGGTGTGCTCAGTGTGTGAAAAGTCAGTCGTAAGCTGAGGATCTATGTATATTTTGATGGGCATCATATTTTAATAAGAAGTTTTTTAAAAATAATATTGAATGCTGTAATGAGAAAACCATTCCTTTTTTTGTGTGTTTTTTCATTCTTTTTGGTTGTCTTAGGAAAGACTCCGATGTGAGGAGGTCTTAAACATCTCTCCAAGGCTGGCCGATCTCTCCTTTTAGCTAATGGAGAACAGGCCTCAGGCTTAGACCCTTCAGCACATAAAGAGACTGTGGGTAAATTTTAATAATCATTGTATTTATTTCCATGGCAAGTGACTCTAGTTTTCCATTCATGAAATTTCCATTTAAAAACCATTTATTCAAGCTGTTGAAAACACAAAGCAGTTCATGAGTTGATGATTGTTGAGGTTGATTGATGAGATCCTGGGGGGTGTTATTTTCATTATACCCTTCTGTCTGTTTTTGTATCTGCTTCACATTTTCCACAGCAAAGTGTTTTTAAACATTGAGACAATTAACAAAATTATTATGTAAATAATTTTACATGGTGGTATGTGGATATGTCTGAAACCATGACAGTAGCATGTGAATCACTGCCGATGGGAAAAGACAGGCCCAGAAGAGTCGGAAAGAGGTTGAGAGGCAAAGGCCAGGACTAGAGAAACAGAGTGAGGGGTAGACAGAACCCAGGCCTGGGAATGGGAGGAAAAACCCTTTCTTCCCTTGGCCTCACTGTTTCCCGAGAGAAAGAAAGCTGCTGAGGAGTGAAGGAGACTGCAAAGATCTAATTGAGCTGATGAGGGAGTGGGAGCAATGGGCAGTCACCCCAGGGATGAGGCAAGGGCCAAGCCTGAGATCAGGAGGCAAGAGTGGAACCTGGTTTGAAGCGCTCAGTACAGAAGAGAAGACACCTGCTCACAAAGCACTTTGTCCTCCCACGGCAACGTGGGAATAGACCAGATGTGGAAGGGACTTCAGGGGTCATCCAATTCTACAGTCCCTAACCACCCCCCCCACACACCATATTGAAGAAGAAGACACTCAGAAGTCCAGAGAGGGGAGTAACTTTCCCCTGGTCACAGAGCAAAGTTGCAGCTGGGTGGGAAACATGTCTTAGCCTCCTATCCTGTTCCTTGGCCACCTCTGCTCAGTGTCAGCAGTCTTGCCCATGTCCTCTCTGACCCCACCTATGGTGCTCTCCTCAGGTCTCTGGACCTGCCTTCTGTGCCCCAGAGCCACCCCGCTCCCCCCGGCCCAGGCTAGAGAGAGGAGACTTGGGCTGAAGAAAGCCCCTGGAAGCCTAGCAGTGCTCAGTATGGGGCCCCATCTGGATCTGGAACTGGCACCCTCTGGCTGCTTCTGGCTTCCCCATCATCTCTCTTCCTGAATTCCCAGAGCTGTAGAGTCACCGGGTCTTCCAACTCCGGCAACCCCAACGGGTACGTGTGTGTGTGTGTGTGTGTGTGTGTGTGTGTGTTGGGGGACAGGGGGTGGTGCAGGCCCCTTTGGTCAGGGAAGTCGGGATGGGGGTGGGGCCTTGGCTTCCTGTTGTTCATTGCCCTGGGGCTCTGGGGGGGATTTCCCTGGCCACCCCCACCCCCTAGGGAAGGGGAAGGAGCTCTGGTGAGTCACAGGCCTGGGGCGGGAACCCAGGGTGAGAAGGGGCGGGAGAAGCCTTGTCACTGGGTGTTCTCTCAGATATTGGGGCCTGTGGCTGACTGTCAAAGACCCTCTCCTAAACACAGTCCCCTTTCCTGGATGTTCTAACAGGTGCTTACCTTGGTGCTGGGGCCAGTTGGAGACACAGAGAACGAGGAGGCCTTATTTTGGGGGTTCTGCAAAGAGAAAGATGGGTCAGGGGGTGGGAATAGTGCGATGAAGCGGCTTCAGCTCCTGCCCCTTCTGTGGCTGCACAGAGGTCCCTCTACTCCCTCCTCCCTCTGCCCACCTCCCTCTAATCCACTCCCTCCTGACCTGATGGTTAGTGTCTGGTCCATTTCTTTCAGTGTCTGTGAAGAGAGGGAAAGGATGTGTTGTCTTCAGCCACCCCCACCACACCTGTCCCTTCTGTGGTCTTCCCATCTGCCACACTTCTCTGCCCACTGTGACCCTGCCCCTCCCCACCCACCTGTGTGCTCTGACGGGGAGTCCAGACCTTGCTTCTCGGCCTCCAGGGGCTTAGACATTCTTATTTCTGGGGACAGAGAAGGGATGAAAATGGGGTGAAGGAGAGGAAGCCTAGAGGGCTCCTGGGCCCTTCCAACCTTTGAACCTCTTCCAAATCCCCTCCACCCACTGCCATCTTTGAAGTGTCACATTTTGAGAGGTATCCTCTGTTCTGAGCCTCTGCCCTCCTCTGGCAGGACAAGAGGGGGCCCTCAGCACTTGAAGGAATCTTGCCTTAAGCTTTCTCCCCTCTAAAAAGCAGCGCAGGGGATGTCACCCACCGTGAAACACTGGGGCAGGGTGGGAGGTAGAAGGTGGTCACAAGAAGGTGTCAGCTGCCCGGGAGGAGATTGCTGGTGTTCCAGGAGCAAGTGCGACCTTGGCCTCCTCCCCAGGAGGACCGCCCAGGCTCCCATTCTGCCCCACCAGGTTTCGGGTGAGACATGTTTTCCACTCTGAATGGGGCCTAGGAGATGTGATGGGGCTGCAGCACCCCCAAAGGAGAGAGTTGTCAGATCTCAGGGTGTGATTAAGCCACCCTTTGGCCCACCAATTTTCCCGACACACGTCACTCCCACTGGCCTTCTTGTGTGCAAAGCAGAAGCCTTGGGGCCTCACTCTGCTGCTCTCTAACCTTAACGCCCTCTGCCCCTGTCCCTGCTATGTCCTCCAATCTAACCCTAGACTCAACCCAGACTTCAGCTTGATTCCCAGCTGCATTCTCAAGTCCACCCTACAAACAGGAGGAGGTGACCAGGGAAAGGTGGCAAGCAGCAAGTTGGGCACCAGGGGAACAAATGAATGGAAAAATTGCGGGAACTCTCTGCACCGACACCAACCATGGAAAGGTGAGTGCTCACCCACCAAGCAGGAAGCTAAATAGGAGTGAGCTTACATGAACAGTTGATGTTGATGTCACCCCATTTCATAGAGGAGGGAACTGAGGCTCCAAAAGTGGTCTCACCTCTGCAAGAGCATGGCAAGGCGAAGAAGTGCCCTGATTGGGCCCAGATCTTAATGTCTCCAGGGTTCCTGTGTCTAATCTGGATCACTCCAACCTAATGGGCCCATCTCTGCATGAATCTTATCTCCAACAATTGCTAATTCAAGCTCATCCTGATACCGACTCCTACCCTTCCTACCCCTGGACCCCAACACAAATCTGGGGTTCAGCCTTACCCATTCTCAGTACCCTTACTCACCCTGATCCCAGCTTATGCCCAGATGATCCAAGTTCTTCACTTGACCTTGACTCTCAACTGTCCTCAGCCCTTACTCATGCCCCACAGCTCACTCCAAAACCCCCACCTAAACTATGACCCCACCCCAATGGAAGGAGCTGTCCAACTCGAGTGTGATCTGCACCCAAGATATTTAAAGAAGGCCTGCTACAGTGAGGACTGGGAAGAACTCAGCAATAGGGACTCGGGGGAGAGTCCGGGGATTTTGCAATTGTGGATTACTCTGTGTGAACCGCTGCTTGTGTTTCAGATTCTTTTAGAATCTTAATTCAAAAGCCACGTCATGAATTGCTGGTGGGAGTGTAAATTGATACAAGCACTATTCAGGAAAACTGAAGAGACAGTTCCCTTGCACCTGCCCCGCCCCACGCCATGACCCAGCACATCCACTCCTGGGCATCCACCCAAGAGAAACACACATCCTGCCACTAAAGGGCACAGGCACGAATGTTTCCGCATACTTTTCATAATGGCCCCATACTGGAAAGAACCCAAGAGCCCATCAATGGGTGAACAGATAAACACAATGTGGTACATCCATACAATGAAACAGTCACAGCAATGAAAAAGAACAAGCTCCTGCTTCATGCACGCTCCTGACTCTCACAGGCCGAGTGAAAGTGGCCAAACAAAGGCAGACACACAAGTGCTAATTCTAATACATGGAGTTCAAAACACAAGAAAGCTGATCTTGAATGATCGAGGCCAGACTAGTAAGTACCTCTGGGGAGTGTCGACCATGAGGAAGCCCGTAGGATCAATACACAGGACAAAATTCATCAAGCTGCACACTTAAAAATTGAGTACTTTACTGTATATACATTATGTTTTAACAAAAAGAAAATAAATAAAGGTTTAAAAAAGGCACATAGTCCTATTAAGGTGTAGGCTGGGAGGGTGGGGGAGGACAGTGCTCAGAATGCTATGGGGGCTCAAGTTCCGTTTCTGGGCACTGGAGATGGAGCACTGAATGCCTAATGATCGTTAGAAATCCAGGAAGATGTAAAGAGAGATGGGTTGGGGCTGCTCCCGACTCGGGCAGCAAAGGCCTGATCCTAGCTCCTACTCAGGAAAACCTTAGCGTTATTCCAGGCAACCACTAACCATCACAGGGCCAAGCCTAAGCCCCCTCCCTGTCCCCTCCCTCCAGCAATCCTTCCTACACCCAGCTCTCCCTGGCTCTAAACCTTTTTCCTTAAGAAAAGTCCAGGCCCCTCGGCCAGACTTCAGGGTGCAGCCTACTACCCTCGACAGCTCATCCTTACCACTCATGCATCCTGCTGTTTGACACCCCACCCAGCATCTCCCACTGTTTGGGGGCTCTGCTTGACGAGGAGTGCAGATCTTGCAGGTGCTATACCCCTGCCTGGCTGGCAAATGCCAGCTCTCCTGTCCACAGATGGAGCAGCCTCCAGCCCACCACCACAGAAACTCCTTTGCTGTGGAGTGAATCTGTCCACCCAGATTCGTATGATGAATTCTAAATCCCAGTACCTCCAAATATAACTGCATTTGGAGATCAAGTCTTTACAGACGTAAGTAAGGTAAGAATGAGGCTATTAGGGTGGGCCCCAATCCAATCTGACTGATATCCTTATAAAAAGAGAAAATTGGGACACAGACTCACAGAGAAGACTGTCACCTACAAGTCAAGGAAATAGGCCTCAAAGAAACCAACCTTACCAACACCTTGATCTCCGGCTTCTAATTTCCAGAATTTCAAGAAAATAAATTTCTGTTGTTTTAGTCATCTAGACTACGGTACTTCGTTATGACAGCCCTAGCAAATTAATTCATCCTCTCACACCCCCTTCCTCGATCCCCCAGGGCTGTGGTGTCTGTGACCAGGTTCCTTCTTCATCAGACCCGGGGACAGGCCTATCTGACTCATTGCTGGGTCCCCAGCCTCACCAGCCCAGAACGAGTTATGTGTTTGCAGAACACCCATCCCCGCAACTTCTGCTGCCTCCTACTTGTTCCTACCCTGCCCTGCTGTTTCCCTGCCATTTAACAAATATTCCCAAAGTCCTTGGTATATGCTGGTCCCTCTGCCTGGAATGCTGTCCCCCACTCTGTCCACCTCCTATTTATCCTTCAGGACTGCCCTCTAGGAAGCCGGGGATCTTGCCCTGCTGCTTTTGCCCTGGCTTTCCTTGCCCCAGCATCTCCCGTCACTGGCTCAGAGTCTGTAGCCTTCCAGTCCCCCATGTGTCTTTCCCATCAGAGCAGGTCTGATCTTGGGCTCCTCCACTGCCCAGCAGAGGACATGCAGGTTGACAACCAAAGATGGCCGTGTCCTGACCTCCCTCCTTCAGACCTTTCCCTCTGATCTTTCCTACAGGGACCCTTTCCTGCTCTACTGCATCTCCTGCCCCTCTTCAAGGCCTGGCTCACGAATCCCCTCCTATATGAAGTCATCCCTCACCCCCAGGCTGTCAGTGTCTCTTTCATGTAAGTTCCCCCAGTGACTCTGTTCCCACCCCCTGACTGTGGGTTCCTTGAGGACCCAGGTTGGAGTCGCTGCTGTGCAGGACTCAGGCTGTGTCTTTGAAATGAGTGAAAGCATGAGAGGATTCTCCATGCTGTCCAAGCAAGACCCTATCTTTGCTATCACCTGACGACACCTCAATCCTCTGCCCCCGTCTCCAAAGCAATTCTGCCTAAACTTTTAAGTTAAGATTCCCTCCACAGGGTTAGCAGCTAGAGGCAAAAACAGTTTAAGGGAAAATGTCCACCATTTAGTTTCCTTCATTCTCCCTACATTTTCTAGACTACTCCCACGAGGCCCCAGTACTCACCACCCAGTCCTTGGCTGGAGCATAGCAAATTAAGTGCTTCCCTTGGCCAAGGTGTCTCTCTCTCTCTGTTTCTTTCTCCGTCTCTCTCTCTTTTGTACTGGGGATTGAACCCAGGGAAATTGAGCCACTAAGCCACATCCTCAGTCCTTTTTAATATTTTATTTAGAGACAGGGTCTCTCTGAGTTGGTTAGGGTCTTGCTAAGTTGCTGAAACTAGCTTTGAACGCACGATCCTCTTGCCTCAGCCTCTCGAGCCGTTTGGGATTATAGGTGCCAAACTATCTCTCGATCATCCTTTCTCCCTTATCAGAGTGCAATTCAAGGCAAGGGTAAAGTCATTCCTATCAAGGCTGAATAGGGGCTCCATTTTTACCATGCACCAAAAGCTAAATGATGCGTGGACAAGGACTCGAGGGCATCGTCCATCAGGGATTAGGGACCTGGAGAGGCCATGGAAAACTTTGCTTCAACCTCTGCCCAGGCAGGAATGCTTCATGCCCTGCCCTTGACTTTATGAAAATTCTGGTGCTGATTTTTTTGTTTGAGTTTTTTTTTTTTTTTTTTTGGGGGGGGGGAATTGAGCCCAGGGGGAGCTTAACCACTGAACTATATCCCCAGCCCCCTTTTTATGTTTTATTTAGAGACAGGGTCTCACTGAGTTGCTTAGCTTAGCAACTCACTGTTGCTGAAGCTGGCTTTGAACTTGTGATCTTCCTGCCTCAGTCTCCTGTGCCCCTAGGATTATAGGCATGTGCCATTGTGCCCATCCAACTGGTTTTAATGGAACAAGGTGTGACATGCCATCTGATTTAAACACACACACACACACACCCACCGTGTGCTCCCAATGATTCTGATGTGCTCCAGTGCCCTGGCATCTCCAGAAGTCCCTCTCTAAGTTTCACTTGAATAGAAAAGTTGGTTGGTTACTTAGGATTATGACCCTCTCTGACTTTCCAAGGAGCGTGTAATTTTTTGGAGGAACTGGACACCAATAGCAATGCATGACTAGGCCCCTTGGAGCCACACCTTGAATCCCACCACTCTTAGGCGAGATCCACCCAGGGCTGCCCTGCCCTGAGTTCATCCACTGCCCCAAGTCTGGGACTCTGGGTCCCTTCCACCCTCCCCGACCCTCCCTCCCCGGACTTTCACTTCTCCTCTGCATTTCCCCCAGCCAGTTTTAGCAGACTTAGGCGAGCTTCTCGTTAAGCACTTACCGAAAATAAGGCTAAATATAGAGGGCCCAAGGACTGCCCCTCACCCTTCCTGGCCCCGCTTGGCCTGTCCCCTGGGTCCTCTGCCTCTACAGCCCGCCTTGATACTAGCTATGCCCTGGGAGCCCCTGTGGGCAGGGTTGATGCTGCCGGGAACCTCTGTGGGTCCAGCTGGCCCAGCCCCCGGCCTCCCCAGGAGCAGCACCTCCCACCCTCCCCCAACCCCACAGCTGTCCCTGGTGGCCTCAAGGGAGTGAGCACTTCTGAGCTGTCAAGAGGGAGGGATAGCCATGCAGGCAGCAGACACAACAAGAGAGGTGGCCTCCAGCTGTGCCAACAATAGGCAAGAACTCCACATCACACACCACAGCCACAGCCAAGCAGGGCCTGGCCAACACACACAAGACAGAGGTGTGCACAGATGCCAGACAGGAATGTTCACAGGTCTGCTGATAAAGACAGATGCCTAGTTGTGATGCCAGGGGAAGTTATGCAAAACATATACCCAGATGTTACACACTTATACACTGTTGTACCCAGAGTCACCACCACACATAGATGTGCACGATGCCCAGAGCCTCACGGAGATAGATATGCACACACAAGTCACACAGATACACACACAGACGTGCCCAAACATGCACACAGTCACATATACAGAGTCACTTCATCCTGGACAGGATGACCAGAGCAGACCCCTGGGCCAGTTCACAGGTGTGAAGTGAGAGTCCATGTAGGATGAGGAATCTGTCAAAGGCTGCATAATGTATTAATTCATGTCTGGGCAGGGAAAACCCAGGCAAGTCCACCCAGGTAGGGCTGTTTTGTGAAAAATTGCAAGTAAAGAGTCTAACTTGCTGCATATCACCTATGCAGTCCCCATTTGGTCCCCGACAGAGACTAGTCAGTGGTGGAACAGATATTGTGCATGTGAAGACACTATGAATCTTGTGTCCACAATACACAGGCACACACACACACATACACAGCTGACTATGCAGTCAATAAACACATGCCATCCTTTAAATAGTCTTGCTCCTTTACCAGACACAGTGGCACACACCTGTAATTCCAGCAGCTTGGGAGGCTGAGGCAGGAGGATCACAAGTTCAAAGTCAGCCTCAGCAACTTCACAAGGCCCTAAGCAACTTAATGAGACCCTGTCTGAAGATAAAAATTTTAAAAGGAATGGGGATGTGGCTCAGTGGTTAAGCACTCTGGGTACAATTTCTGGTACCCCCTCCAAAAAAAAAAAAAAAAAAAAAGGAAGAAAAATAAGAAACATCTTTCTCCCGTCCCACCCCCTCCTTACCTCCTGGGCCCTGCTCACACCAATTCATACTTCATATCCCAGCTCAGACAGTCCCGTCCTCTAGAAAGCACTCTCTGACCCTGCACTAGCTGAACTGGATGTTTTCTGGCCTCCTACTACCCCTGTGCCTCCCCAGTTCCTGCCTTGATCACTCTGTAGGATCACTGGTGACAGGTCTGTCTTCTCCACTGAACTTGGGGCTCCAGGAGGGCAGACATGAAGCTGCCTTTTCAGTTGTATTTCCAACACCCAGCACAGAACCACTCAATAAATATGTGTTGGTAAAGGATCAGAGTGATGCCCACATACACTGGTGCACATAGGAGGGCATACATCAAGCCAAGATTCACACCCACAGACACCCAGAAACGTGACATACCCACAGTCATGCCCATACAGCCACAAATGAAAGAATCATGAAGTACCAAGTACTTGCCACATTCCAGGCACTATGCTAAGCATATTACACATGTCATCTCATTTAACATTCCCATCAATACTGTCAAGTGATAATCCGCACTGTGCCGAGATATGTGCATTCTACTCAGTGAACTAACAAATATAAATCATATTATACAGTGCCTGGCACACAGAGTTCACTTAGGCAACTGACATTTGGTGGAGGAGGCATTTAATAAGTACACAAATATATAATGAAATTTCAGGCATCAATAAGTGCTGTGAAGAAAAGAAAAGGCAGGTGAGGGGACCGAGAGAGGCTTATTGCTAATTTACACGGGGATATCAGACCTCTGAGGCGGTGACAGCTGAGGGGAAGAAGCAAGTCAAGAGAGCATTGCCAAGGCCACCTTACAATGCCACACATAGCCCCCTACACCAGCTCATACACTTGCTAATGTGCTCATAAGAACCACCCTCAGAAGATTCAGAACTACTGCACACACATGCTCACACACATATACAGATGCACCACGACCTGTACACAGATGCATACATACGCTCAAAAGAATGGCAATACCCAAGTCCAGCAACTTAGCCTGCCAACCCCTTACCAGCCCCACCCAAGTGTCACCCACATTGCTCACCCCACTGGTTTTCCATACACGGTCTCACTACTAACACCTGGCTCTGTCCCTTCCTCCCAGAGACCCCTCAGAACAGGGCAGTAGACATGGGGACAAAGGTTGGAAGTGTCAATGCCTGCTGTAAAAAGGTAGGGAAAAGGAGCCAGGGAGTGTGTGTGTGTGTGTGTGTGTGTGTGTGTGTGTGTGGCAGGGAGCCAGCCTGGGAAGAGGGGGAATTGCTGGAGTACAGAGCAGGACAAGAGAGAAAGCTAAAAAGGGATGGCAGGGGGGTCAGCTGAGTTGCCAGCACAACAAACCCAAATGTGCTCAACCTGTCCTTCCCACCAGTGCATAGGCACCTGCCCCCTTACCTGGAGCCCCCATGCTGGAGTGAACCATACTGCCCGCCCCACCAGGGCTGGGGGAACAACTGTGTCATCTCCCCGCCCTCTCTGGGGGCCAGCCCTCCTTGCCGGAAGTCACCCAGGGAGGAAACCACAGGGCTGGTCCGCCCCCTTCGGAAGGGAAAATACCCTGGCCCACAGACCTGCTCCAGCAGCCTAGCTGACCCCAAATCATGTGTGTGTGTGTTTGGGGGGTGGGAGTTAGTGGGATGGAAAGAAAGCAGGCTGGAAGAGTTGAGTCCTGCAGCTGCAACCCCGGGAGATGCCTACAACAGTGACCTCAGCCCTCTTACTGCCCCCCGTGGGGAACAGGAGACATGGGTCTGGGAGAGAAGGTAGGCTGATAGCAATAACAGCAATAACAAACCCTAGCTGGCAGTTTATTGGGGGCGGATCTTCCCAGTGCCTGGCCTTGCGCATCATACTTGACAGGAGTCTTCTGGAGCAGCGGGCATTATTATTTGTCCCGTTTTACAGACGAAAAGACTGAGGATCAGAAATGTGAAAAGCAGCTTTCTGAAGGGCCCAAGGTCAAAAAGCAATGAAGCCAAAAAACAGGACACTGGGGATGACCAAACCCTGCACCTGTGCACAGGTAAGCCATCCAGGGTCACAAATGGGAAGAAATAGTGCCTGTGGGCAGTGACAGCACCGGCGGAGAGTCGGGTCTTAGTCCGGGCCGGTAAGAAGTCGGTCAGGAGGCAAATGCGGACGTCCAAGGCTGTGTGGTGGGGGAGCCCGCTCAGTGCCCTGGAGCCGAGGGCTGGCCCTGCGCGCTGCGGAGCTCGCAGCCTAGAGCCTACCTCCATAACCGCCAGAGGGCGGCAGCGCCCCGCCAATGGGCTGGAAGGCGGGGCTGGCTGCGGAGGAAGAGCCCCTCCCTCCCCTCCCCTCGCGGTCTCCCCACCCTGCCCCCGCCCCAGCGCGCACACCTGCGAGGGTCACACAAAGGCGCAGGACTCCCCGCGCACCGCGGAGCAGACAAAGGCGCGCCAAAGCGTCGGGCCTCTTCCTTATCTCGACGTACAGGGTCCGAGGATGCAGAATCGCAAGGCGCCTCCAAATACCTCTCCTGCGGCCCGGGACTCCCCGGGACACGCTGTGCCCCACGCTGTGGGGGCCCCCCCAAACCACACGTCCGCAAACATACGTTTGGACTCACCCAGACCTACACATACACGAAAGTGTTTCTACACGTGGACCCTAGCACTTCAAACACACACACAGACTCCTATGAACACATCTCTGTGCACATGGCCCCAGTCCTCCCTCCTGACCATGGTCTCTCCTTTATACAGACACCTTCTTCTACTCCTCTATGTGGACCCTTGGGCACAAGGTCACATCTACACATATGACCAGTCTAGGTCTGGCCACGTGTATCTACATTCACACACATGCACACCCACAAGGGATGTGATAGACAAGCACAACTACATGGGTGCCCTCCCCATCTGCACATGGCCAGTCACCCGGATACACCTGGGCAGGCAGGTGGGCAAGACAGCGATGACCACAGTTCTCCCATCTGCACAGGGAGGACAGTTTCTAGGCTCCCACACTCCACAACATTCCATACCGTCAAGGCCATTGCACAGAGGACACCCACAGACCACACAGCATCTGGCTGCAGGGTTCCACACATGAAGGTCTTTCAGATAGCAGTCTGGTGGCAGTGGGCTACTGGAGCCTTGTCTTAGAGCTGCATTTGCCCAGTGAGCTCTTTTTTCATTTAGGATTTATGTTTGGGGGGGGGGGGTTGGAAATGGGGGTCATATGACATTAATGGGGGGCAAAATACACTGGACACCCCTATGCTCCACCCTGAACATATTCAGCATCATCAAAGTGAGAAGCACACTTTTACACATGACTCCAGGCCAGCCCCTTAAGTGGAGCAAGGAGAGGACCGCCCACTTCTAGGGCAGTGCTCCCAGGTCTGAAGGGGAGTCCAGGAGCTGGGAAGGCCTTACTTGCTCCCTCGGGGGATGAAATCACCACCCCTGTCACCTCCCATGTTGGCTTTACTGTTATTGCCTCAGACCAGAGCTCAATCCCTGGGCCTGAATGAGGGGACCTGGGGTGGGCCTGCCCAAGAGAGAACAGAGGGGCAGAATTTGGGACACAGTAGGTAGGTAGGACTTGACAGCTGGGAATGGAGAGACCCAGGCAGGGGGAGATGGTGGCCTCCCTGACGGAGAAGAGGACTCAAGCCAAGCTGAACAAGGCAGGTAGGACACAGGCACTGGGGAGCAGTGGGGGCCACTCGAGGTGTAGGGAGCCTGCAGGGAGGCGGCACAGGGGAGGCCAGGCTGGGCTCAGGGCTGAGCGGTAATTAAAGGAGACGTAGGGGGCTCCCCAGGGCCAGCGGGGCTGGTAACTGACACGCGGGCCCCATTGCTCCGCTCATATTTCTCGCCGGATCGATACGTTTGACTCCCGACAAGACAATAATCGCTTGTACGCGGCTGGCGAGTCGATCAAATACATTATTAGAGCGAGGTCCCCCGGGGGCCCGCTGGAGAGTGGGGGGGCAGCAGCCAGCCCACCGGGGACAGCAGAGAGAGATTCTTCACCCCTTAGGGCCCCCCTGCCATGGCCTATTCCTCCCGGCCACCCCTGGGGACACTCTCTGTGGCTCAGTTCCCCAGTATCTCTCTGGACTCCTGTTATCTTTAGCAGTCTTTCTGCTCAGCCTTCAGCCTCATCCCTGCTCTATGTGGAGACCCAAAGGGCCTTTCCCCATAGATGCTGGCCTCATCTGTAGGGTTTTAGCATGTGGGAGTTCAGAGGGGCACCTCAGAACCCTTGCCTGGTCCGAGACAGGGAAACTGAGTTGCAGGCCATACCCTGAGTCCATGACTGGACTTGGAAGTGAACCTGGGCCCCATATTCATTAGCACCAATTTTTCTCTACCTGGCCTCCCTTCTGCATCTAAGCACATTGGCCTTCAGCAGAGTCCAGGCCAGGGACAGCCTCCGAGGGATAGTGAGAGCTGGCTTAGAGACCTACATGGGCAGGAAAACAAGGATGGTAGGAATGGCAGACAAACCCATAAAGAGAAGTGTGGCCAACCCTGCTGCAGGCCAGGCAGTCCGTCAGGGGCCTCAGTGACCCTCAAACCATGCCCAGCCTCAGCTCTGGCCCACCGCAGGCAGTGCTTGCCCATCTCTTGCCCACTTTCCCATTTTCTGGGCTCAGAACTACTTCCTGTTGACATGCTACCTAACCCCCTGGATCTGAGGTTCCCTCAGGACTATTTCTTCAACAGCCCCAAGTCAAAGTCAAGTCCTATATAGATCGACCAGCATCTAGGGACTCAAAATATTTCTTTACCTTTTCCTCCTCACTATCGTCATCAACACTAGCAGTAGCAGCAGCATCACTGTCTATTCTGTGCTATTTGAACCAATAAATTATTCCTAAATCTTCACAACAGTCTGAAGAGGTAAGGTTTGTTATCATCCCCCATTTTGTTGGTGGGGTTCAGAGAGTAGAGTCATCTGACCCAAGTCACATTGCGTGTGAGTGGTAGAGTATGAATTCAAACCTGGGTCCATTCTCCCCACAGCTTGTTCTCTCTCTGCTCTGCCATGGACCTCCTTTTAGACTTTGGAAGCCTCCCCATCATCCATTGGACAACAGGAATAGCCACTCTGTCCACTCAGGAACACTGGAATCCTCCACAGCCCCCACCCAACTCTGACAGCTCTTAGAGCCAGTTTCTGGATGTTCAGCAAGGAACTAGGTTCCTTCTGACCCCATCTGGTCCTGCCTCAAAGTAAGCCAACCCTTCTCCAGTTCCTTATTCTATACATTTCTTACATGTTTCTGGGTTCTGAGCCCTGTGCTGGGAGCAGAGGACCCAGAAATGAGCTAGACCTGACTGCACTCAAGTTGCTCATGGTGTGGGGGGAAGACATGCAGATAAAATATCTGCTAGTCCATCCCTCAGTCAGTATCCAGGAAATGCTACTGTGCCAGGACATGGCTAAACCCAGAGAATACAGGGATATGCTTTATCCCTCATCCCCCAGAGCTTACATTTTTGGAGAGGAGGATCAGTTTTTTTTTTTTTTAAATCACCAAATAAATATATAATCCCAATTTGGGAAAAGTGCTTTCAAGAACAGGTGAAGGACCCAGGCACAATGGCACATGCCTGTAATCCTAGCGACTTGGGAGGCTGAGACAGGAGGATCATGATTTCAAAGCCAGCCTCAGCAACTTAGCGAGGCCCTAAGAAACTCAGTGAGACCATGTCTCTAGATAAAACATAAAACAGGGCTGAGGATGTGGCTCCATGGCTAAGCACTCCTGGGTTCGATCCTCAGTACCAAAAAAAAAAAAAGAATAGATAAAGGAGCTTAAATGGATGGTGGCACATTGCAGAAATCTGTCCCAAGGAGGTAACATTTACTTTGTAATTCAGCACAATATTCAGGATGCAAAAGATGTGGAGAAAAGCATTCCAGGCAGTGTGAACAGAAGAGGTGGTGGCCCTAAAGCAGCAAGCAACATGAAAATTCCAGGAACTGAAAATCAGCCTGTTCAGCAGGTACAGAGTGAATGAGGAAGAGGATATGATGATGAGGTGAAGAGGTGCAGGGCCAGGCCACACAGGGCCTTGCAGCCCCTGGCAAGAATTATGGAATTTGATTCAAGAACAGTGGGACACCACGAGAGAGTTTTAAGCAGGGAAATGACATGATTTTGTGAACATTTTCATGGATGATTATGGCTGTGGTGGTGGGGGTACACCAAAGAGCCAGAGGGTGAGGGGGTCAGCCATGAGGAAGCTGATACAGTGTCCACATGAGGGATGATGAGGACAGAACCAGGAAAGTGGCAGTGGGGGAGGAAAGAAGGAGGTGCCTCTGGAAGAAATTTTCTGTGCAGACAAAACAGGATTTGGTAGCTAGATAAATCTGGGGTGTGGAAGAGAGGAAGGAGTCAAGAGTGAGCCCAGCTACTTGGAAGTAGTTCCTGCATAGGAAGATGGGGGAGGAGGGAGAGCTTAAGCTCGGATGAGAAAGATCAGGGCCCAGAGAGACAAGAACCTTAAGGATGGATTTGATGTTGTAGATGGAAGGCTGCTGAGAGGGAGGTTCTGAGTGAGGAAGAGCCACCAGGGACTGGTATGGAGACTGGCTGGTGGGGTGAATCTGGAGGCAGGATGACCAGTGCTGAGAGTGGACACTGGTCCAGGCAGCCAGGGAAGACTGAAACATGAGGTGAAGGTGAGGATACAAACTCAATCTACAGTCACTAGGGACCAGGAGATCAAAGGGCGGGGGGGGGGGGGGGTGCTAGGCTATCTCTGATGGACATTGGGAAGGGGAACAAATTTGGGGGAAGATCAGAAAGAAGCACCTTGGAATCAGTAAGGTCTATGGATCAGACAACCAGTGATGCTTAATAAACCACACTGACACAAGACACTGGACATACCCACTACTACCCGAGCTTCCCAAATCCACCAGAATGTGCAGTCACCTCAAGTAAGAAGAGAAGTTCTGTTCTGTGGCTCAAAAAAACATAAAAATCAGAAGACCAGGTTGCTGTTTTACAACTGGACATCTGATGATTTAGGG